TTAATAATACAAAACTTAAATATTGAATTCTGTAAAAAGAAAATATCTAAACTAAAGCATTGATATTCTGTAATTAAACTACATTAAAAATCATTTAAAATATTAAATAGATCATTTGAATTGCAAATTCTCGTAGATCTAAGAGAGATAATAATTTAAGAAATCTTAAACAAGAGCATTTCATGGATATTTGATACCGGATAATCCAAAGACTCACTCTTATATATTTAGGCCCGAATTCTTGAGGTCTGGGCCATAAACACGTTGGCTAATATAATTCGAATTGTTTTATTGGTTCGTTCGTTCGTTATTTTAGTCTCGAGATAAGCGGCAACGGAACGTTCTACATTTTCGTCTGAGAATCAAAATCGGATGCTGATTGAGAAATATATATATGTATCTATATGTAGCTTGTGTTTTATGGCAAGGGGCGGGTGCTGTCATGGGTTAATGAACCATTTCCCCTGCTCCCCTCAGCAAAGAGAGGGGATTAGCTTGGAGAAGAGCCACATGCTGATCTTTAGAAGCTGCCTTTATGGCGACCATAAAACGCGCCAAACAATGGCCAAAAACACACATTTGGCGATGACAATTATTGCTAAATGCTTTTTGCTACCCAAACAAAACGCGTCAGGGTCTCAGTTTAAATTCTGAATCGTTAGACTAGGCTTCCGGTGTGCGGAGATAAGCTAAAAATATCTTTAAAGTTTGTGGAAGAGTGTTTAAAGTTGGAATTTAGAGGAACTAACTAAAAGAAAACCTTGTTTTATAGTTAAATATTTATATACAAATATCTCTTAAATATTTCTCTACCATTTTCTGGATCTGTTCATTTCTTCTTTTACATTTTTTATATTTCTTCTTTAACAATCTCTTACGTGAGCGTATTTCTCATATTTGCAACTCGACGACACCTCTCGCCGACATGTCTTGCCGCTGTCGAGGCTGCGATAAGATATGAAACTAAACATACAACACATCATCTTCTCATCTCTGTGTCAGTTGCCACTAATTAGCGCTCATTATGAGCCATTCCCCAGACCAGAATCGAGGATGTTCTGTCAAGTGTTCCGACTCCACTGGTCAAGCAAGGGCCTTGCTTAACAACAAAAAAAAGTGAAAATAATCTCCCCCTGGAAACATGCAGTAAATTCGAAATGGAAACCGAAACAAAAATGAAATGAAAATGAAAAAAATACCTCAGTTTCACTTGCATTTTCGCACTTTTCCTAGCAGAAAAGTGAGCTACTATTTCGTGCTTTTGCTTCACGCTTTCGCAGCTCTTGCAATATGCTTGGCTGACTTCAGCGGATCTCCTCTTGTCGGATTTGCATCTAAATGAATTCGATTAATATGCAAACAATTAAAGTTTCGCCTTGTCTGGACAATTAGAAAGTCATTAGAAGTAACTTATTGGCTGGCAGACTAACCGAGCGACCGACTCCCCGCCAGTTTTTCATAAATTACTCAACATTTAATTAAACACGCTCTAAAGCGTCTACTTACCACCTACTTAGCCTCTGGTTTTAGACAACAATTTTTGCATAATTTGCAGTTAAATCACGAGCAGCAACAACTACAACTACGACTAGAAGTTGATTTTCTTCTTCGACTTGTAGTTCTCTTACTTTTTTTCTATTTTGCTTAATTGTTTGAGTAGAAAATCTGTGAGATACATGTGTTAATGTCCATGTTAATGGGTGCTCTCTTTGAGAGCTTGTAGTTTTGTGTTTGGTCAGTGATTAAGCGTTAACTAAACACTTTTTCCGGCTACCGACTTGGCTTTATTCTCTGGACCCTGGGAAGATCCACTGGCCCAGTTTTGCACCAGAATTTGTTGATCTACCAAAGTTTTTAAGGCTTGTTCCTTCCTTCTTTATTTGACTTTCTCTCTGACTTATTACTTGATTTTAAATAGAACCAATTGACAAAATATATCTATACATTCGCTCATTAAAAATACAGCCTAAATCTAGATTTATTTACGCAGACAAAACAGTAGCTTAATACAGCAATCATTAAATGCAAGAAGTAATGATCTTATGGACTTGGAATCATATTCCTCTCTCCTTAATCCTTTGATTTTCTCCTTTTTTATGCAATCTACCCATATTTCCGTATTTTTTGTATTCTTTTTTTAGCCTAATTAGTTGCGCTGTAAAGTTTACGCTGTTATTGTTATGATAGTATCCGTTTTATACGACCGCTCCTCGACGGGATTATGGGTATTTGTTGTTGGCTTTATTTGCTATTAACTAGATTTTATTGATGCCGCTCTGTTTTTTTGTGTTTTTTGTTTCAGATTTTTAATTTTTTCCTTCTTTTTTTTCTCCATGTTTTTTGTATTTTCTGTTGGTACAGTTTTACGATCTTTTGTGCGCTCGTAAAAACAAACGAAATTCTCCCGGGAAAAAGCATAATTTTTAATGGCCAAAAAAAAACGCCTGGAATGGCAACTCTTGAAATGGTTGGTAACTCCCAAGAAACTCTCGGGCAAACGAACTGGAACCACAAATATAATTACAACTTTGTCATTCGATATTAGATGCCGGCAGAGTGCACAGAACCCCAAGATGATACGCCTTTCCAGAGAGGGAGGGGGAGAGCACACTGTTCATTACACGGGAAGAAATGGTTGACTGGAAAGTTCATTATTGGAAGGTGTTCTTATTGGGATTACAGAACAAATTGTTTTTGCAATATTTTAAACTTGGTTTATCCTCTTGAACTTTATGATTTTAGGTTATATTGGAAGCAATATTCTTATAGATATATATTATATCATTTTCCTTGATTCTAATGCACTAAATTAACTAGGGAATGTAACCATAAACTATATATAATGTTTTTCAAGCTATTAGTACCTTATTTTTAAAGTACAAATAATTGTGGTAATAATTTCATTGATTATTCATATTTGTTCCTAAATTCTGCACCATTTTCCCTTAGTTTTAATACTTTTCCTTCCAAAACAAACCCCTAACATAATTTAAAATAATATTTATACCTTCTCAAACTCCTTTTCTCGCTGTGTCTGAGCTCCCTCTGGTCTCATCCCTGAGATCCCGTGTGTCCATCGGTTCCAATCTTCAGGTGCAGCCACACGCAAGGTGAACGCGACCGCCAGCTGGCACTCAAAGCCGGACTGCTCGTCCGATCTGCTGGACGGGATGGGAGCTGTCCAGCATTGGGGCGCCAGGGATCGGGGGATCGGGAAGTGTGCTTTCTAATGTGTTTGGGTATTAGCAGTTCATCTAAACTTATGACAAGTGCAAATCAAACTGACATTTCCGCATCCACATCTGTGTGCTCTACTCCTCCTGCTGCTGCTGGGTAATTTGCGTATCACAGAGTTCAGGAAAAGCTCCGTTGCAGTTTATTAAATTACGCCCCATGTCATGGCATCTCTTCCAGGAAGGGACATGATCATTATAAAGTTATTAGGCGGCCTAATGGCAGGCGGCATCTCATGATGGACACATGAAAGGCTTGCTAATTTCTCCGCAGAAAGAGAGATCTTAAGATCAACTTCAATCCGTCACTCTTACAACTCCCCTTAGTTTGATGAGTTCGTTTCCACCAAAAAGACTCATTAATTCGGTTTTAATTGCAGGATCATCTGGTCCGAGTTCCCAAGACCTTAAAAGATCTTTATCTGATCACGAAGCCACAGAAATTTCTAAGGCATTCCCAAAATAATAATCATAATTTTTATATAGTTTCCCCTCGACTTCTTATCGCGCGAGAAAAATCTATTTCGTTCAAGAATTGCAGTGGAAACACAAATGTTTTTCTGTTTTTTTGGCCACTCAACAATAATACACAAAAAAAAAGTGTTAGTCATGGTCTTGTTAACTAAATTGTTTGCCACGAATTGCTTCGAGTCCGAGTCCGAGTCCAATTTCAATTCCAATTCCACAGCCAGCAGCCACATGGCATTAGTTCTGAATCCACAAAGCCACGAATCTCTTCGATTTCTCCCCTTAGAATGTGTGTGAGTGTGTGTGCCAGCCATATTTCATCCAGAGATCCCAAACAAAAAACCAGTATAAAACCAAGAGAGGCCTAAAAAGCAAAACGCAAGACCCTTTTAGCCTTTGAACCTTTCGCACGCAGGTAGAACCCCGACATGGTCTCGCATCTTGGGTCTCTTTTGTCTTCATTCCTGATCTCTTGTGGCCCCGTCTATTAGCATTTCAAATTCCCCCCCAAATGGCCAAATGGAAATGCCTCCACCATGCGTAAGCCCCAAACCATTCCGGCATCCTCATCCTCATCCTCATTCTCAGTCGCATCATCGGGAAACGTTAAGCGCATTGGGGCAGTTATCAGTCTATTAGCTGGTTTTTCTCTCTGTCTCTCTGGGAGTTTTCTTTCGATTTTCTTCAGTTCTTAAAGCTCCTAGCCTGTGGGCGGTGATTATGTCTAGCACATTTGTCAATATTACACTGGCATAAAATAAAGGGGAAAATGTTAGTTTGGGAAAGGTGTTGAAAGGTAGAAGAAACTTGAGAGCTTCGTTCAACGTTTTAGTTGAAAAATAGATTTAAAAGTGGAAGAGAATAGTTAAAAAAGACCATTTATAAAGTGATTTAGAATTTATCATTGAATTTTAGTTTTAAAATAGTTTAGAACTTCTAAAGAATGAGTGTGTTTTAGTAGTAGTATTACACTAAATGCCTTAGAATTATAATATAATGTATTTGCAATTGTAAAGTGAAGCTTCTACATGTATCTTTTACTATTTTCTATATAAATACTCTTTATAAACTATTAACAAATACCTTTAAACTAATCCTAATCCTTATTCCATTCCCCATTTCAGCTTTACCATGGCCCTGCTGGAAGAAGGCAATCGCTGTCAAGGGTGCTCTTAGCTCCTAAAGAGTTTCCTAACCAAAAATCCACCTCCGAGTGGATCCACCAACACAATCATGAAAACAGCCGCCAGAGAAACGAAGAGAAGAGCCGCGGGAGACGACCATCATAGTAACACCAAGGACTTTACAATGTTCCACCGATGCCGGAGACGTTCAGGCATTGATATTAAAACGAAAGCATCGCCACCTGCCCTGCATCCCTCGCACATGTTGAGGAGCTGTCTCCTGCTGGTCTTGGTCCTGCTCCTGGGATCCTCTCAGGCCGCCTCCAGTGATAAGGAGCGGGAGAGGAGACTGGAGGTGTCCGAGGGAGTGCCCGTGGATCATCAGATCGGCTATATAGGTGACTTCGATGGCATCGACAGTGGGCCACCGTACATCATTGTGGCCGAAACGGGAGTGGAGACAGATCTGGCCATAGACCAATCCACGGGGGAGATACGCACCAAGGTCAAGCTGGACAGGGAAACGAGGGCATCCTACAGTCTGGTGGCCATTCCCCTGAGTGGTCAGAATATCCGAGTGGTGGTCACGGTCAAGGATGAGAATGACAACGCTCCCACGTTCCTGCAACCCTCGATGCACATAGAGTTCCCAGAGAACACACCCAGGGAGGTGAAGAGGACTCTGCTCCCAGCCAGGGATCTCGACCTGGAACCCTACAACACCCAAAAGTACAATATTGTGTCGGGTAATGTAAATGATGCCTTCCGGCTATCATCGCACCGGGAACGGGATGGTGTTTTGTATTTGGATCTGCAGATCAGCGGTTTTCTGGACAGGGAAACCACACCGGGTTATAGTCTCCTCATTGAAGCCCTGGACGGGGGCAGTCCTCCATTGAGGGGTTTCATGACTGTGAACATAACTATCCAGGATGTTAATGACAATCAACCGATCTTCAATCAGAGTCGATACTTTGCCACAGTCCCCGAGAATGCCACCGTGGGCACAAGTGTCCTTCAGGTTTATGCCTCCGATACGGATGCCGATGAAAATGGTCTCGTGGAATATGCCATCAATAGGAGGCAAAGCGATAAGGAGCAAATGTTTCGCATTGATCCTCGATCGGGAGCCATCTACATCAATAAGCCACTGGATTTCGAGACCAAGGAACTTCACGAACTCGTCGTGGTGGCCAAAGATCATGGCGAGCAGCCGCTGGAGACGACGGCCTTCGTCTCCATACGGGTCACCGATGTCAACGACAATCAGCCAACAATAAATGTGATTTTCCTGAGCGACGATGCATCCCCAAAGATCTCAGAGTCGGCACAGCCGGGTGAGTTTGTGGCCAGGATATCGGTGCATGATCCCGACTCGAAGGCGGAATATGCCAATGTGAATGTCTCGTTGAACGGCGGAGATGGTCACTTTGCATTGACCACCAGGGACAATAGCATTTACTTGGTCATTGTGAATCTGCCGCTGGACAGAGAGATGGTCTCCAATTACACCCTGAGTGTGGTGGCCACCGATAAGGGTACACCGCCGTTGCATGCCTCAAAGTCCATCTTCCTACGAATCACCGATGTCAATGATAATCCCCCAGAGTTCGAGCAGGATTTGTATCATGCCAATGTCATGGAGGTGGCTGATCCTGGGACATCCGTTCTTCAGGTTCTCGCCCACGATCGGGATGAGGGTTTGAACTCCGCTCTCAGCTATTCCCTGGCTGAGACACCCGAGACCCATGCCCAGTGGTTCCAGATTGATCCACAGACGGGACTGATCACCACACGATCCCACATCGATTGCGAAACGGAGCCAGTGCCTCAGCTCACTGTTATTGCCAAGGATGGTGGAGTCCCACCGCTCACATCCACTGCCACCGTTCTGGTGACCATTCACGATGTTAACGACAACGAACCGATCTTCGACCAGAGTTTCTACAATGTTTCCGTAGCTGAGAACGAACCCGTGGGCAGGTGCATACTCAAGGTGAGTCATTAGCATTGCTACACTGTACTTTTTATCTATTATTCACAATTCCACCACAACTCCCGTTTTTCTGGCGCTGCTGACCCACTTTTCCAGGGGGGGAACGGTCATTAAAACGTTTGTCTCGCCAACCGACTCGCAGCGAACGAGCGTTGCTTATGGATTTTCCACGTACTTGGGGCCCCCAAAACTAATCTCATGCATCAATTACCCGCTCCCAGTCAGATCAGTCAGTCGTCGGACATCAGACATCAGACAACGGACATCAGACATCAGACATCAGACTGCGGACCTCAAACATCGACTTCGACATCCGTAGGGAATCGTGAGGGGTAGGGGATTTTTCTTTTTTTAGATAGAAGCTAGGTGCATGCCACGAGTTGCACTTCAGTTTGAAAGGGTATATGGAAAGCGTGGAGCAGTTGGTTATATAGGAAAGTATTATTATAGGGGTATGATACATATTTTATGAGGAAAGCAGGAAGCTAAAACTTATTATTATTGAGCTCGAGCAACCGGAACCACTTGGGAATTATAAAGATACTAAAAAAGAATTGGGAATTATAGATCACTTAATAAACATTTCGGCTCACTTATATTTGGGATTCTTGTTAGAATTCGTTGGTAACTTTTGAGAATTTCGCTAATATTTAAGATTTCCTTTACATATAAATAAAATAAAATAGATCTAATAACTTTAAATAAGGTTGGTAAGGGTATCTAAATTTTTAATTATTTTATTCTTCCAAAACAAAATTCCAAACAGTTACCGTTTCTATCCCAAAAAAAAAAGTTACCCTTACCCCACTACCATCCTCATCCGTAACCCCGAGCAATGCAGGCTTCTCACTCTTTTGTAGTTAATCCATTCATCATCGCGTAATTACATTTTTATAACATTTTTCCCCGCTCACAAAAACAAAATGGGCAACAACAAAAAAATAGGAAACAAACAAAAAATAGTTTGAAAAAAACAAAAACAACAAGGCCTAAAACCATTTCTAGCGCTTAACGAAGGCATTTTGTTTGCCGCCTTGTCTGTCTATCCCTTTTTTTTTGTATATCTTTCTCTCTCTCTCTCATTCTCTGTCTTTTTTCTCTGCTCTCTCTTGTTGTCTGCTATCACCCATTCTTCCAACATCCACCTATATAAGAGCATACATATACTTATATATATCCACGTAGATACAAGAGCGTCTCGAGACGTCGACAAGATATTTGTTCAGACTATCAAATGTGACCTCTCTTGTCTTTTTCTCAGCGAAAAAAAAAAAACAACAACTAACAACAACGAAAAAACAAACCGACAACAAAGCAACAGAAAAAAAAAAACACCGCAACCGACTGACTGAAAATGTAGCCGAGATTCCAAACTTCTCAACAATTCAACAACAACACGAGTTTCAACTCAAAGTGCAGTGTTTTCCACAACACAAAAACAAAGAGTCAGGGAAAAGTCGAAGGAAGTGTTGGAGTACAAATTTAGCAAACAAATACCCTTAAGTATATACTAGATAAAATATCTATAAAGTTATAAGATACTACCTTTCATCTCCCAATGATTCTTATACTCACATCACCAGACGAATCAATTTAGGCTTGTGGGGTTTCTAAGCTGTGGTTTCTTACCACAATTTATTTTGTGGCATATTCATAAACTCTTAGAAAGATATTCCTAACTTTTTTAGGCTTTGGATATATGTACATAGTTACAATGATTCACTCAACTCCTAGCAAATACCTTAAGATATCACCAACTCTTCTTGGAAAGTCAACACTTCTTTAGAGATTTTTAAGGGTCTCACTCTCGCCAGTTAATGGCTAATTTCAGCTTGCCTGAAATCTACGAGATGATTTCCGCAAATCAAAGCAAATCAAATCAAATCTCATCAAATCAAAAGTACAACCAACGTGAGAGAGACACCAAATTAACGGACAGACATCTCAGACGGCGGACAACAATAAGTTGGAATAACAATCCCAATTCTCGGGGACCAACGAAAGAGATTTGATGAAATCTGACAAAAAGTCACGTTTCCTTAATTACAATGGAAGAAAAGCAACGATTTGCTGCTGCCGACAAGGCACAAACCACAAAACGAACGAAATACGAAATACAAAATACAAAACGCATAATTGGCTCACGCAAAAATGAAAATAACAGAAACCGAAACTTAAAATCCCAACGAGCCAAACTCCTCAATCTAAAGAATTGAGAAAGGGACGGATACACAGATGGATGGATGGATGGATAACCATCCATCCATATATATACTAGGGATCTCTCTGTCCAGTATCTGGTGCGATTTCTGGGGGCTCAATAATCATAAAATGCGGCCCTAAAAACTAAATTCGATTCTTCTGACTCTTCTCCTTATTGAAGCCAATCTCTGTGGTCGTGAAGACAATAAAAGACCCAAAACTTAACCCGCAAAAAAAGCAAAAATTGGAATTTCTTGTATAAAAAAAGAGAAGCAGCTTTGGCCAAAGGGTTATTTTTTTTCCCCTAAAGTGATTAAAAAACGAACCACAGGAATATGAGTCAGGAGTCAGTGGTTCCGCACTATCCTAAGAAATAATTCTAAAAACAAAGACCATAAAATAGTTGCAAGTTTTCGAGTCAAAAGAAGCTAAAAATATACCAAAAAAGGTCTGGAAAAAGAGAGCGAAAACTCTTTGGACTTTTGAAATAACTGCCGGCACTTGTGCTTTTAGTGAGAAGCCGAAATACTTTAGCAGCTGCTCATCATTGTTGGATTTCGGGGACCGAAAACCCAAGTTTCCAGCATCAGCAGCCATTGGAAAGGAATTTGCAATTATCGAAGATAATTGCAGAAGAAACTGTAGAGAGAAATGCAAGAGAAGAGGAAGAGAGAGGGGAGAGAAAGAGAGAGAGAGAGAAAGCTCTTCTCTAATTTGGGAGATATCTTTTTTGGGGAGCCTAACTTCAGATAAAGCAATATTCAAAGAACATTTTAAGAGTTGTTTTAACCTTGTTTACCTCCTTTCTTTAACTGTTTTGCATCTATTTAGTTGATTATATATTTTAGATTTAAGGAAACATCTTCTAAAGGTGATTTATTTTATTTACAAATTTCATTTTAAGACTTTGTATGTTGCAAATTGGATCTTGGACCATATCTTCTGTTACATTTGATGGTCCTCTTCCTCTCTCTACCTTTCCCTTCTCTGGCAAAGACCACACCTTTTACTGCTGGCCAAGAGGCAGCTGTTGTTGTTGCTTTTACCGCCGTATCATTTTCTAGGCCTCAGCCGCTGCGAAGAAGCGGAAATGCTATTTAATTAGAGGCGATCAAATGCCGCCATTTCGACGCTCTGACCAACCAACTAATGGCTAACCAAATTACACTTTAATTTGGGCCACAAAACAAAAGACTTGGGCAACAAACTTGCCCAGTGGGAGTGTCTTTTACGGGGGATTACTCATCATCCCCCCGTCCGATCTCCGCTTTTTGTTATTTCTGTTTCGAAATTATTATGCGAGCGTTAAAAATTAAAATCTCATTATGCAAATTACAAGAAAAAGGGGAAAACTAAAACTAAAACCTTCTTGTAAACTCCTCCGCCCAATTTGGAGTTTCCATTTTGGCAAGAAAAAAAAAGTGGAAAAAGACAACATAATTTGCTCGTCGTGTGGTTGTTGTCATCTTGGATTCGTTTGTTGCTGTGTGTTGCAGTTACACACTAAATTACAGGCAATTACATAGAGGGGGAGATGATAGGGGGGAATGTGGGAACACTGCACTCCTCCAGATTCCTAACTCATTCTCCGCCGTCTGCAAAGTCCCCAATCCGCGCAATCCAACAGATTGGCAGCTGAAGCCACTCGCGGACTGCCAACGAGTTCGGAATAAGTTCGGAATAGAAGTCGGTTGAACACCGAAATTAGTTGTTATTGCCCATTGCACTGAGAGAAAAATAATGGTAAATAAATTTTAGGGGAAAAGTAATATAATGAAAACAATTAACTATTGGAAGCTGAAATTTATATACCCTTCCAGTTTGGAAACGAATTATGGGAACGAATCGGAATATTTTCATTCTTTGAATATATATTTTTATATGACAATTTTTTCTACAAACCAAAGTTTAAAAACTCATAACTTGGCCAAAAATGCACTAATTTTAATTCGGAAGGATTTTCTATATTTATTTTTGTAAGATTAATAAATCTACATACTCAATTTAACATTAAAATAAATTAAAAATTTTTCAAATTTTTGACTGTTGTAATTGTGTAAAAAATGACTATAAAATTTTGAAAAAATTTGACTATTTTATTTTTCTGCTGAAGATAGCTAGATCGATTCCGCTGTTTATTCTGATCAAGAATATATATTATTTATAGGGTCTGAAATGACTCCTTCATAGTTTTACAAGCTTCTGACTGAAATTATAATAACCTGAAAAAGGGTATACAAATAGAAAGTAGTTTTGAAAGTTCTATAGGATTCTATGGATTCTGTTTTGAAAATTTTCTGAAAGGAACTTTTCATATAAATAACGTACAAGGTCCAAACTGTAATATCAGGTTTAACCAACTTAAATATGTTAGAACAAATTAAAACAATAATCTTAAGCAGACCCGTGAAAACCCCACACAAAATCAAGGATTTAATTTACATTTTTTGCCCTTCAATGTTGCGTGGCACTCTTTTTTTTCTCAAAGTGTGAGAAGACTATATATTTATATATATGTTGTAATTTCGCATTGTTTGGCTAATCTACGAAAATCTCATTTTCGGGGTGGCTCCCACAATTACAACCATGGCTAACAGAGGGGCGTATGGCGGAAGAGGGGCAGAGAAGGGGTTAAAAAAAAGGGAACACGATCTGCCCATTTGGCAAAGTTATGTGGTCGCCGCTCCTCTAATGCACAGGCACTCCACATCCACACACCACACACCACACTCTACACTCTACACTCTCTTGCACACACACAAAACGCACACAGAGCGCACTTTTTGAACTGGTTTCAG